TCGTCGAACTAGATTGTGATCGACCCAGTTTAGTCTTCCAAGAAGTTAGTTACACTTGTACAAATATTAAACCTCTTTCAAATGTTTAAAATTTTGACTGATAATAATAGATAATTTAAATTATCAAGCTGGCAATAAAACAATTAAGACATGAATGAATTTATAAGACAAATTAAATACCAAAAAAAGTTTGTGTTAAATTTGAACACGTAGGCATAATAAATTATCCAAAAAATATGTCGAAATAAACATTTGCTAAAGCGATATTATTGGAAATAACTTTAAAAACAAATTAATAAAATGAAATTTTTTGATACATTTATATTTTTAGTATATATGTAAAACAAATTATCGCAACACAAAACATATTATATTTTTAAAAATATAATAATTTCGGGAAATTTAAGATAATTAAAATAGCATAGTTGGGGACTATGAATATTAATGAAGTAAATATTGGATTTTACCAAAATTAAATATCAAGTTTATGCTGATTAAATGTCTAGAGAATATTATCCATTTTTTGATATGCGCAATCATCTTTTTATACTCAAATAGAAACGGGGTATTCCCGATGATAAGTTATTATCGGCTTTAACAACCGTCAATAACGCACGCGTAACATATATAATATACTCGATGATAAATGCAATATACATTTACGCAAACTTAATTGCACGATAACGAATATCGCAATATTTTCAAGGACTAACTGCACTGTTTATAAGAAACTGCAATTACAAAAAACTAAACTTCAACAAAACTAAACTTCATAAAAAGAAAAAAATATGATCTGTATTTTAAATTATCTAGATTAAATTTTCTTAGAAAATACTGTTAGTGTAATAGTAGTAGTTATCTCTATAATATGTTTTTTTTTGTAAATTGATAAGTCAATAAAATTCTAAAACGCGAATGACAATATAAATATATCAGATTAAAATATATGTATAATATTTATAGAAAAATTCAATTTAATCGATTAACTAATAAATTGAAAAATAAGTTAAGAGTTTAACTAGGCTCTGTAATATAAATATAAATTTAACATATATAAGATAGGCAATAAGAGCCAAATCGCGGATGACAGTGCGTTATTCTAAACGAAACTAAATTTTTTTCGTTAGAATTAAATACCTGTGCACAAGGCACCAAATTTTTACTTGGACACGGCCAAGATATAAAATTGGAATAATCTCTACAAGAGATTTTTAATTCCATGTATCCCCTATTCCCCCTAAAGAAATAAAGTGCGAGAGAAAAATATAGATCCGAAAGTCGCAGAATCGGGAATCGAACCCGAGACCTTTCGCTTGCCGGGCGACTGCTCTTCCAACTGACAATGAGCTATTCAGATCTATTCGATTCTATACTTTTTATTGAAAAATAAGATTAATCATAATAACTTATACATAAAACAAAAACACACGTAATTAAATAATATGTTTTTCATCGTTTGTTTATGAATATTATTGTGCTTTTACAAGCGATCGTTGTTTACGGATATTTAACGTATATCTTGCATAATCAGCGACATGTGTTACTGCTTTTATCTTAAAAAATATTTAGCAAATATAAAATGTATAACCTTTTCCCGGCAAATTACAAAGTTCGCGAAACGCAACGGAGAGGTCGATATACATACAGAACTAGAATGTCCAATATGTATGTATACTCATTCTATTATCGAGGCGTTCATAAACCTGCACTCGCGATTATCAGTCGTTTCGTAAGTGATTTTAACCGTTTGCAAAATTAAATCGGCAAACATTCGAGGTCACTCGAGGCGTAACGGAACAGCTGACACACACGAAAAAACAGTGAGTCCCCACATTAATTCCGCAAGAGAGATTAATGCGACTAATATCTTGCATATTCGTGAAGTCCCGTGTTACATAAAATTGTTTATCGCGTTACGGTCGTGAATACGATTTTATGTTAGCTCTGCGCGAACATGATTTACGTGTCGGTCGTCTGTTGTATCGATATATCGTGTCATCCACGCGCACATGTCAGCGTTTTAGTGAAAAAAAAGATAAAAAAAAGAAAAAATACGATTGCGCGGACAAATTATTTAAATAGAATAAATTTTCCGTACAATAGCGTAAACGGAAATGCAATTTGGCCGACAATGCGCGCTTATCTCCCCTTATTTGTTATGTCCTGTTATTATTCATCTTAAAAATCATTGATATCAATATGCGCTAATTACAAGCCAAGCTTTGTTATGCTTCCGCTATTAAATATGAATGCAGAGTGCAAGATGTAATAGCGGAAACAATGTTAATTTTGAAGAAAATTATACAGTTGAAAGTAATTATTGGATAATTCCGGAAATCCAAGCTTTATATGTCAATAATATTATATTATATAAACAGAGAGATATTTGCTTAATTAATTTAATACGTAATGCATAATATAAAATAAGTATCACATTGTATTAATCTTATATCAACAATCAACAATCCATTAAGTCCGTGTTCACGTCCTATATAACTTGCTGATTCAAATAATTAATTCAAAATATACTTGTATATGCAACCACAGAAGGAAGAGATATGTGTTTATTCTACTTCTCCAAGCAGCAGAGAATGGGATATAACCGGTTTCACCTCCAAGATAAAATCATTCAATGTCGAGGTTAACAAAAATCGAAATAAAATTACACAGGCGTGATTTAAAGCGTGTATGAAAAGAATCGAAAAACTTGAGTACGAAAACTTTCTGTTCCTCGATATTCTCGACTGGTTTATCTTATCGCGACAACGATATTTCATCGATGATATTTCGGCAAAGTTGTTGTACGCGACTGTCCAAATTGAAGTCCATCGATTGAACTTGGTTGAAGAACAACCAACGTGGAAACTCAAGATAACAAGTTTGATTCTCTATCGCGAGCTCTATTTAGGCAGAAAGGAGATTGTCGCCAAGATTGTACGATTTCCGTCTTCGACGACGGAATCTTTGTGGTCGACCTTCATGGTCACTGATTGTGAGACAGAGGTGCACGTGACGTCAGCATACGCGATCGGCTGCATTCCTTTCGAGGATAGGAGAGTCAATTATGACCAAGATTGGATTGCTATCTTGTCTGATAAGCAGCGTAACGCTGTAATGTCCTATTGTCTGCGGAAAGCGAAAGTTCCTAAATGATCTTATGGTTTATACCGATTACGATCAAAAATTTTATAACGGATCTTTATACGGCTTTAATATTGCAATCTCACATTCTAAAAACATATTTTAAAAATATAATCTAAAAATTTCATATCATACGTTTGTAGATTTTTTTTCTTAAAAAAAACATATTCTTATAAAAAGATTATTAAAAGGTAAATCAAGCGAAATTCATCATGTGCGCGTTTTATGCTAATTTTTGATTGGATGATAAAACGAGGTCAGGCCTGCGTTTTACAATGAAAATATAATCGGAATGTAAAAATATCGAATCTTTCTCTCTCATGCGAACAAAATTATATAATTTTCCGAACAAATTACAATCCGGAAATTACTACACGAGGAATCAAGATATGGTACATTATATGTATACATATATGAATCTTTCTGGTAATGTATTCTGGTAAATAGTATGTTTGTGTAAAAAGGTATGATGAAATGGCATGAGTGAGCAGCAGGAAATTCTTTTCATTGTGATTGCGAAAGAGCAAAAAAATACAGCGATATATTTGACATCCGTTTCGAAATCAATCGCGCTTCCTGTGATATAAAAATTTAATACAAATTTTAAAATGCCATTAAAAACTATCGGTATATCTCTCAAGAAAAATATAAAAAATAGATTGCGACTGTTGGTAGCAAAAATGATGAGACCCATTGTCAGAATGAGAATCGGCGAGCGAAACCGAATGAGATAATAGAAAGTTCCATATGAGAAATTTCAATTTGGAGTTTTATCAGGTTTATATACTGTTTAATTCAAAGCGCGCATAGCACGCAGATAAATTTCATACGAGATTGGTTGAAAATATATTGAGTTCAACTCTCTGTCAATTTCGATTTCAAATGTTATCGCGCAGTACTAAAGTTTCCTTTGAAGGTAGTATACCGCAGAACGAAGATGCGGATACGTATTTCTCGAGTTCTACATAAAAATATCAAAATATGATTTAAGATTGTGCAAAAATAATTTTCGGTGAAAATGATGTTTCTCCATCAAATATCATTATCAAAACATTATTAAAATTAATATTGACGTACAAGTTTAGCGAAAACGTTTTCGTGCCAATTGAATATTTAATCTCCTCTGTACAGCCTATATGTTTTTTCTTTAAATATTAATTCGCATATCCAATTTATGAGAGTATCAATTTTTGGGTGATCTCCTCACACTTCTCAACTCTCGAATAATTGGAATAGAAAATTTAATTAAAGTATAAAAATCGTTCTTCTCGTCACAATATCAAAAGTTGTCTTACCTTTTATAGAGAATTGAATTCTCTAATTCGAATATGCATTCAATTACAAGTAATAACGTGAAATAAATAAATATTTCATAATTTTAACCTCACAACATTGTACATTAAGCGAGGCACTAGAAACTAAATAGCGCAGATTGTTTATTTGATTGTTGCCTGGAAGAACGTGCCATTAAATCTCCTACCTCATCTCGAGCGCATTGTATAATTCACCTTCTCGGTGACATCATTCCTGTTTATTCCACGGCCTCGCAACAGTCTGATTTTCACAACGAATCAATTAACAAATATTCAGTACTCCCTATTACTTTAATATTTAATAATAGCATATTAATTTAGTCCATAACTGATTTCATTATTATATAGATATACGTACATATAAATCGAAACATATCCGAATCGATTCATCTCGTTACGATACTCAATTATTTACCTACCAATAATCCAATGGCATGACTTTTCGTTTCGTCACGATTGATTAATTAAACGATACTACTCGAGACATCGGCAAAATGATCGCAAAGAAAAAGCCCTCGAGCGGGAGAATGAGTTTGCGACACTGACCTTGCCCAAATAGCGAAAGTCGTAGTCCTCGGCGACCCGCCTGGCCACCTCTTCTCCTCCGTCGATGTGTGCGGCCCACTGGTTGGTGTACGCGCGTGCTGGACCGCCGAGAGTCAACAGGGCCACGACCGCCAGTCCGAGAATCCGCTGCGTGCACATGATAGCACCTCCGCTGCACCGATGATCGCCACCGGCTGCTCCAGTTTCGCCGCTTTCGTGGGCCGCCGCTATCATTCACTATATATATATCCACCGCCAACACCACCGCCACCGTCGCCACCGTTTGCCGGGGTAGCGACACGGTGCTAACACTTCGCCACCACCACAAATAACACTACCGATCGTCAGGACGTGCACCACGGCGGTTACTCCGAAACGGAAGTCGAGAAGAATTTACAGGGAAGGATCAATGTGCGCGCCCTTATCCTATATCTTCGATTCCGTCTTCGATCCTGTCTCTAGCTGAAAGATCTCCGCGATCCGGAAAGAAGACGCGATCACGCACATATACACACATACACACATACACACTCGCGTATATACGTCTCGCACTTGCGGACCGACTGCCGGCGACTGACTGAATCGCCGGCAGTGCGTGTCACTCGTTTTTAAGAACCGCCGTTGTTGCGTTGTCAGCCGTTGACTTCTAATCGCGCTATCGTCCACGTCGACGTCGACGACGTCGTCTTCGTCGTTGTCGTCGCCGCCACCGCCGCCGCCGCCTTCGATTAATGGGCAGGAGCAGCAGCGGGAAGAGAAGGAGGCGATCGTCAAGTCATGTGGCCGCGGCGGAGACGAGAAGAGCGACGAGACGATGATAGCGTAGCGAACGCGACCACGAGCAGAGATATCCGTCGCGTCTGGTTACTACGGGGACGATCGCGGACGACCTTCCGGATTCTCGGATATCCACGCCACGAGGACATCCAACGCGACCTTGTCCACCCGCGCCGACTGCGCGTTCGCTTCAAGAGCGAAAACCTGTCATGGTCTTTTCTCCGACGAACTGGCTGACTCTCGGGCTGCTCTTCCTGATTCTTCCGCTTGACGAGCCTTCACCAAGATCGCATTTCGATTCTCGTCCGACGACTTTCATAGTCCGATAAATATTTTCGGAGTATTTACGGAAGAAGCGTGCGCTCGTTTTTCGACGACACCTCCAGAATGTTTCGCGCGACGTCGTCCGATTCTTCCTGTCATCAGCGTTTCGCTATTCTTACGTCTATCATGCCTTGAAAATTTCTTCCCCCATGCCTTCTTTTCCGGATGTCAGTGAAGCATTCGGCCGAATGATTCTTTTCGAATGTACGATTCGGCGTTGCAAAAATCTCTTCATGTTCTCCACGTTCTCACGCACATCCTCTCTAATTTTGGACATCAACAAGTCGATGTTTCGTAAGGTATTATTTTTAGTGCCTTTTAATTCGCTTCTATCTTTCGAGATTTTATTCTCTTCGAGTTTTTTTCCGCTCTTCAACTTGAATGTTCGGTCGTGAAGAACCAAGTGAATGGCCAGCCACTCGAAAGAGGTCACGGCGCGTAGCTGACCGAGAGGTCGATCACGTCATCGAACGCCGCATCGCTCCCTGGGGCGCACCGCAGAAGACGACCGATGAGAGGTATCCGCCAAGGTCCCGACTGACAATGAGATATCTCCTTGCTTTAGAATCGATTTGGAGCTGCAAACAAAATGTCAGTGAAAATTGATTAGTTCAAAGTTTCCGATCAAACTTTTCGAATAATTTTTTATACTTTACACAATCAGTGTTGAGCTTAGATGATTTTTAAATTAGCTAGATAAAGATTAGATAAACATATGTGAATTTATATTAGGTAAGATAATTTTGTTTGAAATATATCTAGATAAAATTATATGGCGATTCATCTAGATAATTTTGTATATATAATAATTTTTAAGACTGCTTATGTATAAACATAGTTATAAAATAAATGTAAATTATGAAAGGGATATAAAAATATATTTATTCATATTTTTATTTATAAATTTGTATCGCTAACTCTGCTTAAGTTCTACTATTTAAGTCTTTTTATCGTGCTATGATTCTAAACCAAAATTATCTGAAAATTATTCTAGATAATTTAGTAAAAATAACACTTTTTTCATCTAAGATGCAGATACAGGTAATACATATTTTTATTATCTACATAAAGATAAGGTGACGCCAAAGTTTCATCTATAAATAATCATCTAGATGCTTTTATTCGGATAACAGCAAACACAACTTACGAAATTAGAATAATTTAAGATTAAACTATAGTATCTGAAATATCCGAAAAATATTTAACGATAATCACGATAATTAATTTCAAGGTAAGTTCTGATACATTATATATAGTATATTACCGTGTTTGCTAAAAGTCTGAGTTGGTCAGTTTTTGATTTATGAATTTTTATATTAATTTCAAGTGTCAAAGAACTTTTAAAACTATGATCGATCGGAAAAACTAGTTTAGAGGCACAAAGTCCACGATTTAAAAATCTGACACATGTATGCGTAGACACACAATATCTACACAACTAAAAATATACAAAAGAAAAAGAATTGTCGTGTGCATCTCCCTCCTACGTTTCGTAAAATTCATTCTCTATTCTTAATAACGATGCATACTTCGTCAAGCATTTTACATTATTGTCACTTTTGAAAAACATTCGGTCCAGTCAGCATTTTCGTGTTAAAAAAATTGATTCAACAAATCCACATCGATTTACGGCAATTACAGTTCCGCGAAATAATTTCGTCTCATATATAATCAAAATTGCTATAAATAACGTGACCTAATTTTCGGTTATAGATCAGAGTTAACTTTTTACGCAGTAGTTCAATTTCACGCCGACAAGAACGAAATCGAAAACGAATGCATCGTTATTACATGATTCTTGACGAGTCTAATTATATTAATGTGGCATAACATCGAATTAATTCATCGTGGACTCAAATAAAGTTACGTAACTTTCGTTACGCTGTATAATTCTTGCACTCGGTTATCCAATTATTGCGAATAAATCAAATAATAAATTCGCATTTTTTCAACATAAGGTATTAAAAACTGTTATTCGAACCAAGACTTATTTTCTGCAACTACTGATTGATTATTCAGTTGTACGTTATGGAAAAAACATTGTTTTTTGGTTGTTGTACATTTTAATAACACAATTACTATTTAACGTATAAGACGGGCAACAAGAGCCAAATCGCGGATGACAATGCGCTATCCTAACGAAACTAAATAATTTTCCGTTAGAATTAAATACCGGTGCACAAGGCACCAAATTTTACTTGGACACGGCCAAGATTTTAAAATATGAAATAATCTCATATTTGAGATTTAATTTCAATACCCCCTTTAACCCCCCCACGGAAAATAAATAAATGAATGCAAGAGAAAAATATAGATCCGAAAATCGCTGAATCGGGAATCGAACCCGAGACCTTTCGCTTGCCGGGCGACTGCTCTTCCAGCTGAGCTATTCAGATCCTTTCGATTCTATACTTTTCTCTGTTATATATATTAAATTAATATATTAAATTAATATATATAACAGAAAAAAGTATAGAATCGAAAGGATCTGAATAGCTCAGCTGGAAGAGCAGTCGCCCGGCAAGCGAAAGGTCTCGGGTTCGATTCCCGATTCAGCGATTTTCGGATCTATATTTTTCTCTTGCATTCATTTATTTATTTTCCGTGGGGGGGGTTAAAGGGGGTATTGAAATTAAATCTCAAATATGAGATTATTTCATATTTTAAAATCTTGGCCGTGTCCAAGTAAAATTTGGTGCCTTGTGCACCGGTATTTAATTCTAACGGAAAATTATTTAGTTTCGTTAGGATAACGCATTGTCATCCGCGATTTGGCTCTTGTTGCCCGTCTTATACGTTAAATTTATATTTATATTACAGAGCCTTGTTAAAACTCTTACAATTACTATTATTATTATTCTTTGATTGTTAACGTGTATGTATTAACACTATTGCATATAAAATAATAATAAATTTTGTAACAATTGTATATTTATATTATATTATTACATTTAAAAAAATAATTTTTATAAGAATTATATATTTAAATATAAATAATATTAATAAATATATGTAAGATGTGTATATATATTAACACTTTTTCTATATAAATGTATCACAATTTATTATTTAATATGCAATAGTTTTTTTGAATCGAGACAGGTTCATCTTTTTTGCTTCGCAATTTTACTTTATTACCGTATAAACTGTTTCAGAGAATTGTCGGAAAATTTAGTTGACAGAGAACCGTAAAGAAAAAGCAAAATTCATACTCAATCTCTAAAGTCTGCTGCATTATTAGCGCGCATTCGCGATAAATCTCGAATAGCAAAATGAGATATTCGCAGGTCCGCATTATCGTCACGTTCAAAGGACCTTCCGGCGAGCCAGTTTCCGGAAAAAGGACTCTGCATTAGTCGATCTGGACGGACGGTCGGTCGGTCGCGCAACCCGCAGGAATATCCAGCCTGTGCCCCGAGGAAATTGCATTCGCGAGTTGGTCTTCCACCAACCTCATTTCCTCTTTCCCTCCTCGTTCCACCATGGCAGTCGCAGTCGCGTGATAAAGAGAGAATAGAAAAGGGTTGGTAGAGCAGTGAATTAAATTTAAGCCAACTCGCGTCCTATCCGACTATCCCCTCTTCGTTTTCCTCTTTCCTCATCCCTGACACCATCTCTTCTCTCCCAATCCTCTCACACTGTGTGTCAGGCTTCTCTTTGTCGTTTCATCCTCTTCATTGCCGAGCCGATGCGACCGACAGACCGACCAGTCGAGACGACAGCGATGGCCCTCTTTTTAATTTTGAGATAAAAGAGGGCAAAACTGTCATTCGAGGAAAACTGAACGGAGAGTCAATCAAATCAGTTATAAGTCCAGTTGGAGAGAGAGAGAGAGAGAGAGAGAGAGAGAGAGAGAGAGAGTATCATCTCATCGGCAAAAACGGATTTAATCTCTCTTGACTTCAGGGCGGCCGAACGGACAAGAGGCTGCCGGATCTTTCGTCAGGTACATAATAATCACCTTCACGCTGGAAAATGATCTCCACGAATCTATCTTAAATACCACAAGGTACTTAAATTCTACCTGACTTGACTGCCGGCTCGGTCTCCAAGATAATATAACTCATGGTGCTTTTATTTCAGCGAAGCAATCAGAAAATCGATGAAAACGAATGGATGAGAACTTTATTTTAACAGAATCTTAATTTGAAGTTTACTCATTAAATATTTAAACTTCAAAATTTAATTTCGACGAATTTTTGACTGACAAACAACGTTAATACACAAATTCGAGCTGACAAATTCATAAAAATTAATGGATACTTAATTATGGATATTTAATTCATTGATTGTACTTTCCTTATTTTTTAATTAAAAACTTATAAAATATAGTTAATGATGTACAATAAAATATAGTCAATAATTTATCGATCATATAAAAATGTTATACAATAATCTGTTAAATAATAATAAGTATCATTTAAAATTTAAGTTAAAATATTATTAATTTAACAATTTATTATTATGCATATATTATTCTGTATAATAAATTGTTATTTTATATTCACAATCATTATACAAAAGATATTGTACAAAACAATGAATTATTAATGTCTGTAATTTTTGATTGTGTTTAATATTTTAATTATATTCATTTAATTATATAGAACATTAAAAAGATCGATTTGGATAACCAATTACCATTTCAGAAAAAAAAACGGAAGCGATATATATAGTTCATTAGATTTTCCAACTCATGGTCAGTTATAAATATAAATATGCATTTGTTTGGAAGAACGTGTTATATTTTGTACTCTTAATACTTTGTTCTCTCACTTTGTAATTTCAATTGAATTTAACTGTACTGGAAATTTAACCCGAATTACAATTTATATAGCACATTGTGTAAAAGGACAAATAACAGAAAATAATATCGCGATAATTCTGATATCTTTTTAACAGAAATAAAATATTTAAAAAATTAACTTTTTATATATTATTTCGAAATTTAAAGTACTAATATTTCTTGCGAAGTATTTTACTTTTTACGAGAATTGTGATATGTTATTATTTTATATTCTGTACTCTGCACGATATAGTAATAAACGTGTGTTGCGAGCCGTTATAATATTAATAAAAACAAAGTGAAAATCGATGGATGCATATTAAAAATGTCGACAAATGGGATAATTCGGAAAGTACGTCGATTATATGGATTATATAAGTGAACAGTAACGGAGATACGCGATCGTTTAACGAAAAATATACGCGTATTTTCCAGGGAATTTTCTGCAATACCAAGGGACAAATATAGACATATCTATTTTTCAGTATATGTATTTGTGATGCTTTGTTAACGGAAAAGCGTCGAGATGAATCCGCTTTCGTTCTATGAGGAGGCTGCCTGGCGTATCTCGTTACAGATTTTAGTTCTCGAAACGGCAAGACGATATCGTTGACATGCATCTCAATATTACACGAAGCAGTTCTGTATCGTAAAGTGAAACGTGGCTGTTCTATCTCATGATATTATTCCCAATGTATAACTTCGCACATCAATAATGTGTCTCGATTATGAAAATGCGACACCGTCGAAGACGAACTGTTTGATGTAAATTCTCTGTAGGTACGACATCAAAACCGCGAGAAGACTTAATAACTTACTATCTTACTTACTTAATTAATTACTTCATTACTTTATTAATTTATTTCCATGCAATATGCAAAGAGTGCATTAAAAATTGCACGTTTTGTAAAAGATGTCTTGATAAAATTAATGTTACTTTATTTTCCTTAAAATTTTGACCAAAAATTCAAACTCATTGTTAGACTCGACGAAATCTGATGAAAATAAATCGCGATACGCTGAGGTGGAACAATCCTGTTGAAAGCGAGCAATGCCAAGGCCGTTCTTGTAACAGGAAGCGACTGGGGTCAGAGACTGCCATACGTTCATCGTACGAGAACGTAGTGTTCATAGTAACGAGAAATGCAAGCCGAGTGTAAGCAAAAACTGACTGATTCAATTCCCTTGTTAAGATAGGGAGCTCAATTTACGAAATGTTTCGCGTAAAACGTACAGAAAATATAGAACTTTTGCTGTGAAAAAAATTTTGCGTAAAAAATTACAACCAAAAACCAATTTGAAAGCTAATTTTAATTTTTCGATCTTGAATTAAATCTTTCAAATTAAGTTTCAATATCACGAATCTATGAAAAATTTGTTTACAATAATTTCAAATCAACTTTGCTTGATGAAAATTTAATCTACAATTCAATTACGAAATATTACGTAATAAATATCCAAGGCTTGGAAACGAAGCATCTTTAAATTCATCTCGCTGCGTGATTGATTTATAAAACATGCAGCGTTATTAGTGCGATGTTCAGGGATGTGGATGATCATGAGGGAGGGTCGCGATTTGTGCGGGCGTGATCGGAAACGTTCAGCCTCAGCAAATTCAATCGAATGAAATTACTTTCTCGATCGTGTATGCCGCGAATCCCGAAAAATAAACATGCGACCGCAATAAAGAGATTGACATGTGCCCGCGTTTTGCGGGCAAATTTATTTTCTCCCGTATACTATACCGTGCATTCGCGATCGGTAAACACCGCGTTGCAAATTAACATCGCTTCATGAAACTCCGGGTTGCACTTCCCTCAGGAGAAACGGATATTTTTTTGAATGAGCGAACATTTAATTGGAACGTTGTTCATACGTCAGTGCTCGGAAAATATGAGAGTTAAACTGTTCAAACTTTTGCACACAACTTATATTCATATTAAGAGAACAATTAAAAAAACTGCAGCAAATTGTTAATCAGTTGACTAATTACGAGAAAAAAATTTTAAAGAAATATTTTTAGGCAATAAAAATATAAAACTAAAACGTTGCGTATATGTGTGAGAACATCGACAATATAATTGTATATTTTAATTGCTTTCTTCAAAGCTTCTTTTTTTCTCTTCTTCGTATTTCTTCATTATTCTTATATTTCGTATATTGCTTTTCATAGTTTGTAATAAAGAAATTGTTGTTTACAACATATATTAATATTGACAAAAGCACGTAATAAAATATGCTATGCACATAAATTATTTATAACTATTCTTAATTTCTATCTTACTATTCTTTTGCATTTTTTTTTTAATTTTTATTATTTGTAACATCGCTTATTACGAATATGTAAAATTTTTCCGAAAAGATTCAAATATCTCATTTTTGTATACATTTAAAAATTTTAGAAGTGCGATAACCATATTTCAAAAATATAAAAAATATTAAGGCAAAAAATGTTTAACATTTAAAATAATGTTAAAAATAAATAGAAGAGATATGAGAAAAAAGAAACGCGTAGCTCTTTTCCTAAAAAATGCATTCTCTATTTTAACTTATTTATTATTCTATTTAAAAATCACAAGCAAATATAAATGTTTGAAATACTTGTTAACTTCAAAAAAGACATAAAAAAATGAATAGAATAATGTCTTTAAAAAAATTAGTTTGCACACACATATACACACATAAAAATAAACAAAAAGGTACATACATACCATATATCATAATAGAGAACAAGTTTATAAAAGTTAACAATAAGTAAGGGATTATATATGTATACATACGTGAAACACAACACATGTACATATTCATATACTAAATAGTATATTGTGTATCAGGTGCGGAAAGTTGACAATCCGCACGTGATACACATACTATTTTGTATTACAAGTGCAGGCAAAGTGGCTTTGTGCGCGTTTTCTGTGCGCGAGGTGGTTGATCGCACGCCGCCATCTTGCGGCGGCACGGTGCGGGAATAGCCGTGTTCAAAGTCATTGTCCACGGCTAAAGCCGTCCATTGTCCACGGCAAAGCATTGCCCACGACTTCAGCCGTGGGCAATGACTTTGAACGCGGCTCAGCCGTAGGCAATGGCTTTGAACGCGGCTTATTCACTCACCGCGTTGCCGCTAGATAGTGGCGTGGGAAATCGGCCGCTTTCCGCACAGAAAACACGCACACAAAGTGCCACTTTGCCTGCACGTGTAATACAAAAAAAATTATTTGACTTTCACAAAATCTGCGGTCGAATACGTGCAAATAAATATCAATGTAATAAGAATTGCAATGCCAATGTAATAAGAAGTAAATATTTTGTGTGTGTTAAAAACAAAATTTAGTGAACCAATTCTTATTACATTGATATATTTATTTGCACGTATTCGACCGCAGATTTTGTTAAGTCAAATAATTTTTTTTTTTCAGCGTACAAAATTAAATTCTTATCTTTCGCGCGAACGACCGACACACGTGACGCGTGTCTCCGAAGCATCACGTGACGCTACGGGACGAGCGCGAGAACGACGTAAACAATCCTTACATGGATCGATTCCCACGCGATAACTCGAGCATCTGACCTTCGCATTCCGAAACGGAGCATAACCTCATACTTTCTCGGAGAAAGAATTACGAATTTCTACCTTCCTATTTATTCGGGATCACATAGCGTGGCGGAGAAACCTTTCGCGATCGTCGCTGAAGTCAGCGTCACGGCCACGCTACGGAGAGAGGCCTGTCTAACGGTATTTCGCGCGAAAACAGCAATGGAAGGTCACGTGACACCGGACAACTTCAGACCGATCGTTATAACAGACAAATATTTACTTACTATTTTGGCGTTTTCGCAGAAATCGTCGCCGGTCGAGGGTTCCTTGCCTATGCGGTCGTTCGACGTCTGCGTCGGGGAAGGAACGCGGAAGAGGAGAGAGAGGACGTGCAGCGAAGAGAGAAACGTACGCGCTCTGCTGCTACACCCAGCTATATATCTACACACCCGCGGCCGAAAGTTCGCGCGAATGCCGCGGTTCGTCGCGTTTTCGTTTCGCCCCGAATTTTTGACCGTCGCGTCAGCCGCTGCGTGTAACAAAACTGTGAGACGACGACGTCGTCTACGTCGTCGTCGTCGCGCGCGAATAACCACACCGAGCGAGCGTCCGGCCGCGATGTTGCCTCTACCACGGAACACGGATGACTGAACGGTAGACGGTCGGACTGCTCTGCGCGCCACTTTCCCCTCTCCGCGTTTCCCCCCCCCCTCCCCTCCCTTCCACCCTCCCACCCTCTCTCGCGCGCGCTCGCGCATCTTCTCCTCTCTCGCTCCCTTTTCCTCTTTCCCGACCATTTCGCGCCGACAACTCGATCCGCCGTGGTCCATCCCCACCATCCACTATCATGATAGTTCCGAAACACCCCCGCTTCATCTTTCTCCCGTCTACAGACACGATGCAGCGTAGCTTTGGTCTCTGTCAATCTCTCTTTCTTTCTTTCTCTTTCTCTCTCTCTCTGTCTCTCGCGTTTCCTCTGCACCAACTCGATCTCTTCTTCTCATCTCGCTTTCTCTTTCTCTCTCTTTTTCTCCCCTCTTCTTCGGATCTCTCCCTTCAATTTATACGGTGCACGTACAGTCTTCCTTTCTCTTGTTCGCCGGATGAAAGCAGGAGCGAGAGAGTGAATGAGAGAATGAGCGGATGCCAGTGTCGGAATAACGGCAAGATCGGACCCACGGCTCTGATTTTCTTCTCAGGTCAGTTTTTTCATCATAAACCTGGTCCCTCGCACTTTTTCTTTGATTTATTTTTTTTTGTAATGCACAACTGTCTTTTTTAATTTCTTTTAACATCAATTTTTCCGACACTTCAATTTTTTCTCGTTTTGTGTCCTTTACTTTTTCAAAATGACTTTGAAGCTGCGGAAAATGCAGTTTTGCTGACTGACCGATGCACAAATACGAATGAAGCTATATAGGTCAGCTACGGTAAATAGTGTGTTTTAATATCGGGATATGCGGCCAAACGTTTTTATTCGGTATATTTCCATTTTTATTTTCCATCGCATCGATATCTCTTATCGAAAAACGTGATTTCTTTATTGGAATAATTATTCCACTGTAATGTCACGCGAATTCTCCGGCAAAATGCAAATAAAGATATATCTAATAGTTCACGTTGCAAGATATATATATTGAAGTGTGCAGTTAAATTTATCCCACCTATAAAATATAAGCTTGATATCATCGCAAACTTTGAAATATTTTATTTCTATTTTTTCAAAGTAATTATTGCTATAACGAAATAAATATTTTGATGTGACATTATGAACAATCTGTGCAGATATGTAAATGTATATTTGTATACATATATATATGTTATTTTAAAATTTGACTGTGTGAATGTAATCTTAATTCGATGTATTTTAAAACATAATATTTAGTTAGATTATTGAAAATGTACATATATTTAATGTGCAAAATCATATACTCTGAGAGATTGACAATTAAAATTTACATTTTTAAGAAATAATAATTCATTGCAATTCGCACGTGTAAATTCATAGATATCTACTTAATATAATTAACCAATAATTTCTTATCATTACATTATTTTATTTTTATATTATATATATTATTTATCACTCGTTCTGTTATTTACTCGTATTAATTTTATAAGTTATTGCAGTGAATTGTAGAACAGGGTCAAAGTTGGCGTTACTATCATTAACCTACTAACTATTAATGTCTACTAATTCAATGACGAAAACATTTACTCGACACCTGGAAGTGAGATTATGCAAATATTATGACATTATGTTTTGTCTGATATGCACTAGCTGCATTATTTTTAGTTCAAAGTTTACTTCTAATTTAACATCAATGATAGCGTCGATAATGCGAAAATTAAGCGTGTTACACATGCAGTTCTAAAAATAGTTACAAATATCTTAATGATTTCTCAATATTTTACAATACTTAAAATTAAAATTAAGTATTAAGTCTTTAATGTTTAATATTACAATTCAATTTCTAATTAAAATATTTTTATTGCGCTGAAGAAGGCTTGAAATGTCAGCCGAAACGTTCGCAAAATGTTTATTTATTATTTGGTTTAAATAAATTTTATTAATATATATCAACTGTCAACTGTATTACGTTTAATAGCTCTTATAGCCCTTCTTTGTTTACAATTATTAAGTTTAACAGAGCTAATTACTATTTTTATTTAAGTATTAAGATTTAAAATAAAATTAATTATATTGAAATGACTATTGATTTTCTTATTCATTCAGTGCAAGACGAAAAGATTTATCCTTAAAAAATTTTAATTAATATAATTAAGTTGACTCTATTTAATCTTTTCTCTGATAGTTATATAAGAATCTTTAATTAACATTTGATATTCCAGTAAATTTTATTATGAACTCACTTTCCTCTTTAGCTTTCCCTTTAATATATAAAAATTCACATATATCTGATCGATCTCAGCGAAATCTTTAATCATTAGAATAATTGTCCAATTAACGCAGAGTCAGATATTATTTTATATTTAGATATACAAAGAGAAAAGCATATGAAATTGCATCACTAAAATACGAACAAGGGCACCGACAAGCTTCTGATCGGCCCTGATAGTTGCAGTACGAATATACCCTTCCACATTTCATCTTGCTCTCTTCCTTCTTCTTCCTCTAGTCCCTCCTCTACATATGCATAATTTATATACTGGGTGGTCTAAAGCAATCATCCATGTGATTTTTTTTTTAAATTAATCGTTGATAATAGAAAAACTGATAGAGAAAAAAAATTGAGTGACGTAACTTCTTTTCCTCTTAACTATCCAACAAACTATTTCTCCCTTTCTTTTTTCCTCTCTCCGCAACTTTCTAGTCACGCGTTCAGTGTGCCTTTTTCTTCTGTACTTTCGCGATCCTGATCCATCTCATTTCCCTTCTCCGTAAAGGCAATCGTGCAACAAGGAGGGAACGAATGCAAATGCTAAACACAGAGCGTGCATTCCGAGGGAATGGGAAGTTACACCCTTCGTTCTTTCTTCTTTTCTCTTTTTCAAAGCTGCCAGTGACCGGTGACTCCTCTTGGATTTATATTATATGTATGTGTGTGTATACTTTCATTGTGGGTGCCTTTTGCACATTATCTAGTATAGTTTAATTAACGCGACAAATAAAAAATTAAAATTAATGTTTTTGCATTTTTTTGTGATTAAGTCACCGAATTTGTAAATAAGAAAATTTGTTTTTTGAATATGTATATATATATAACGTTTATAAATATTTATTTGATAAATATATTGTTGCGTTTATAAATATTTATTCGACAATAAAGTTTTTGATAAAACACAATGCAAGTTACAATTAAATTTTATTTAAGACTTAAAATAAAATTTAATATATATATATATATATATATATATATATATATATATATATAATATTTATTTATATATGTTATTTAACTTCTGATTAAATTTGCGTTATTTTTAGCTTAGAGAAAGCATGATTGTTATATCACATGTATTTGCATATTATATATGTATCGTATAAAACAATCAATCAAACTTATTTTAAATCAGATATATATTTAAATTACTATTCATATATGAATTATTGCGAAATCGCTATTATTGCGAGTAGAATTGTGTCTCACTGTATTTACGTTTGTGTTCCATTCCATATTTTCGCCAATAAGGAAACCTTCATCTTTCACAAAATCAGTTTTGTGTATTCTGAACGTGGTAAGGGGTGCTTTGAAAACAAATCTATCAAATACTTGAACAAAATATTTTCCTAGTATGCAAACTAGATCTTATCTTTCTCAAGATTCCGTTCACTTTTCGACGCTTATTTCTGTCCGATCGAAAATTCAGATTCTTTTTCCTCTTTATCATTTTTTCACACTTAACTATGCGGTTTTCTTTCAAGATTATCTTCGATCGTGGGTTTAGCTTGCTCTTTAAATTCGTCTCATAACGCTACTGACAAAAGCGCCGTCACGTAGAAGAGAATCACTACCATCATCGTTATCTGGGAACAACGGATCCGATAGATCGGATATTATACGGATTCTCGTTATCGGTCCTTTTCTAGGCGTATATCCTGCGTTCCGCAAATCAAACGATGCCGATCCTTCGACATATTTCAACCCTTTATCGGCTTGTTACTGTATAAAAAGACAATTTTTTTCCATTACTATAGTTTTATGTTTCTGCGTTTAGAAATTTTGATAATAATTTTAAAGATTATAAAAATATTGAAAACATTTATGCAAATATTATCTTCGATATAAGTCAGCCAATTGATAAGAGAGAAACATTGCATAAACAAGTTATATAGTGTTAATTTTATTAATTATTGTATCCAAGATTATCAGATAAATGTATATATTTAAATATAATATACCAAGCTAGATATATATAAAACAATGCCCAGTATCATTTTGTTTTTTTTTATCATTAAAATTAGAAAAAATTAAATTTATCAAATAATTATATTATTAAACTATCGTTAAAAAATCAATAGACGAAAAGATTTTATTATATATATTATATCGTATATATAGACGTTGAAAATGATAATGGACGTACAATTTACATTTCGCCATATCAGTAGCTAAATTTTCAATATATTTGTATAGCATTCGACATATCGATTATTGAATAATCGATATGTAAAGTGCGGAATCTTGTATGTGTCGTATTTTTTTAAATTCCACAAATAATTTTATTATTATTCTTGAGTGACGTTTTTCTATGCATGAATAAAATAATACGCATGACATGTAATGTACATTTTATGCAAATTTAAACACGTGCCATCTATTATGCGCATACTTGACAATTATCTTGAGTAAATTGATCAACGTTGCGAATGAAATAATTCGTACGGATAATATATTGTCATCAATAAAAGATTTATGCTTAATTAACTGGACATCTTATTCGACCTCTTTCTTTTATATCCTTCCTTCAAAGCCTGACGTCGAGAAAATGTTGCATAATGAATCGCGCGTAAAATAAGACATTGCAAAGGAAATCCACGGAACGTCTCGCAGTTAAATGCGTTCCAATTACATTCAAAGTCTGGATTAATTCGATATTTCTCATCATCGTTATTGTAAATGCAGCTGTGCCGATCCGTATTTCGTAATTACAATTCGATCCCTTCTTTCAT